CTTCATAATTAAAACAAAAGGAATCTTCTCAAGTTTTCAGAAATGCCTCATTCTGATGAATAATAACAAGCATGACAGAGAAGAGCTTAAATGATCAATGACTGCCTTTAAAATATCATGAGAATAAGGACTAGTGTCGCTAACACAGCCTAGATTGCATTTAACATTAGATAAACCATCATAATAGACATATATGAATGTGAACTGGTTTAAATCTTTAAATTAATTCGAATATTGGAAATATAGAACAAGTGATATCAAAAAGTATTCCTGTGATTAAATTTCACTAAATGTAAAATGAGAAAGAAGACCAATCTGCTCTGAAAAAAACTAACATGAAATTTAAATGAAGTCTTTATCATAAAAAAGCTGACAGTAAAACCAGTGAGTACACGAAGTAGAAGCAAACAAATAATTAACCCTAATTAAAACTCAACACCTGAAAGAAACTACCTCCTTTACCTACTTGGGAAGCATTGTTTCAACTACAGGCGGAACTGACGAGGATATCAAAGCAAGGATCGGGAAAGCAAGGCAAGCTTTCATTACTCTGAAGTCTGTGTGGAGGACAACATCATTCAGCGTCAAAAATAAGATCGGGATTTTCAACTCCAATGTGAAGTCAGTACTACTATACGGATCAGAGACTTGGCGTGTCACAAAGAGCACCTCAAACAAGCTACAGACCTTCATTAACAGATGTCTTCGCTCAATACTCAAGATCAGATGGCCGGAAAGGATCAGCAACAAAGATCTCTGGGAGCGAACCAACCAGGAACCCATTGTGAAACAAATAGGCAGGAAAAAATGGAGATGGATTGGCCACACTCTGAGGAAACCAGCAAGTGACATCACTAGACAAGCCCTCGAGTGGAACCCGAAAGGGAAGCGGCGAGTTGGTCGTCCAAGGGTGACCTGGAGGAGATCATGTGAAGAGGAGATGAAAGCATGTGGGCAGACCTGGAGCCAGGTGAAAACTCTAGCAGAGAATCGAACGCAATGGAGACGCATGGCTGAAGCCCTATGTTCCTCTAGGAACTAAAGGAAATAATAATAAATAATAATAATAATAAAACTCAACATTAATCACCATCTTTGCAATGAACACAATAAAAATGTACAAAAACTAACCTTTGTGTTTTAAATAAGAATTCCACAGCTGTTTACCGCATGAATATCAAAACATATTCATCACTACTGAGGCTGTTATGCCAACCCTATGTGATTAAGGTCAGTTTGTGGAAAGGTACGTCGATGGTTCAGAGGTAGAATACTCTCCAACCACTCCCGTACTACGGGGTTCGATCCGTAGCCAGTGCACTCTTAAGCCTCTCTTGGCCAGTAGTAAGTCCGATAAAGAAGGAAGGTTGGGCGTGAGGCTAACAACTCCACCCGGTAGAAAAGAATAACACCATTTCTACTGACAATTTAAATCTGAACAAAAAGACATACAATTTTTAAAATATATATAATTCCCCATGGAAATGAGATTGTTGTTCGATAATCAGTGGCATTTACATACAGCTGGTGATGAACCACACTTATTGTGAGAGCCCAAATCTGGCTAAGTGGAGCGGTGTTTGAAAGTCGTTTCAATCAGCGAAAGATAATTCGGTCCTTTGACTGATTTCTTCCCATTACAAAAACACTATGTACAATTCAAAGACAAGTGTCACTGTAGGATTCTGTCAAACTTGAGTAGCGCTACAAACGTGTCAACTTCGAAAACCACAAACTGATTCATGCCTTTTGCTTTCAGTGGTTATAGAGCATAAGAGTAAAGTAGAATAGTGAATATCGTTGCATGAAACACTCCTGATCTGACACGTATATATGTAGTCAGAAGATTCACTGGCCTTATAGATAACAACCGTTCGAAAATGAGAAATAGGTCTTCAGTATGTAAGCTATGATTGTATCATAAAATACTTCACTTAAACTGAGGTGACTTCTTAGACAGGAAAAGAGATTGTTGCATTTAACTAAAAAATGGTCAGCAAAAAAAACTGCATGAAAAACTGGGTGGTGATCATGAAATAGAACTCAGTAGACGAGTGTGATTATCAAAGCTTTACATAATTCTGTATTACTGTTCTACCAAAATATTCTTTTATCTTTTAAAGACGGGTTGGCTGTGTTAATTTGCGAGAAAACTGAATCAGTGAACATTTTGTATACAAAATAGAATATGATTTTAAAATATTCTTGTTTTAGTATTAAAATATTATTCAAAGTAGTAATCTAGACAGTGCAGCCATCAAGTAAATTAACACGTGCAGTGGATGAAATAATTAACGCGATATCCCTTGTTTAGCTGTGGTGAAACAGTAAATTCCATAAGATATCTATGTTCTAAGTAGTACCAAAGTGACAGCACAAATATATTGACAAAGACAATGTAGGACCACTCCTTTAGGAATTATATAAATATTATTAAAGGCTAATCAGTTTAGTTCAGCAGAGTCAGCCATTAAGTCACAAGAAAGAACAACAGGTGATAATAAACAGTGTGAGTCAATGTGACTTACACTTTCTGTTAACAGAAAATCGGTTGAAATGCGCGTGTACGAAATTCAATGAATAAAAATTATATTTAAATTAACACCAGAAAACAGAAAATGAATAAAATACAGGGACATGAAATAGAGATATAATTAAAAGGTTAATTTAACAAGTACTGGTCAATTAACGAACAACTACTCAGTTCAGTCAGGTAGATAGTTACCTGGGGTTCTAGTGGCAAGTCGTGACCAGTAGGGTACTGTAGGTCAGATGTGAGGACAAATACTCACCGAAGACATTGGCTAGTAGTTGCGCTATGTCATGAATTGGCAGAAGCTACAATTTACGTCCCAGTGGCTAAATGGTCTTGTAACCAAAAGGTACTGGGTTCAAACTCCTGTGATGGGTGCGCACTGATGAAGAGTTCCGCACTAGGACGAAATGGATATCCTGTACTCTGAGGTTTTCCAGTAGTCCTCTAACCGATGTCAGCTCATAATGAAGTCCTGTAATCAAGCAATCAAATCCCTACAAACCAACACTTGAATATCAGTTCGTTATCGTTTAACGGGAACAGTATTCTCCTGGATATTGTCTGAGTTAATATGGAAACTTAATTAACAGACTAATCTTGTAGGTTTGTAGGTGAGGCACCGGACGAGTAATCCAGAAGCTCCTGGATAGCGTTTGCCTAAAACTTGGATATTCCTGTCAACTTCTTTCTCCATTCATTGGATTGTGAGTCTGGGAGAGAGCTTCAAACTTTGAAGATTCAGTAGCTGAGTTGTTATTGTTGTTGGTCCATGTGGCGCGATTTCTAGCCTCAAGACCAACCTTAGCTGTTTTCCATACTATAAATTCAGTTGTAATTATATCAGCCCGAGAAACGTTAAGTCACCATTACCAGTCATACAATCAATGAATAGCACAAACTGAAGTAATTTTCTTAAATAACACTTCTCGAAAATCAAGCTAACATATATCCAAAGTCTGTGGTTCAGAAACAGATCCTATTGTTGGTTTTTTACCTACAGATTATGTGACTTTCCACAATATTTTTTACTTGATCTTATTACATTGAGGCATAATAAAATTACATCATATCAATTCATTGTAGAATATTAATAACATCAGATAGACAAGTATGTGTATGAATGATGCAAACTGCCTTCTCATGATTTCAAAATAAGATCTCGTTATGAATTACATAATCGATAGAAACTAGTATTCTGGCCTACATTAGGACCCACAATTGATTGAGCTCTTTGTTATAAATTAACTTAGTGATTATGTTATTGCCTAGACACTGAATCGAAATTCATTTGTCTACCAGTAGTATACTACTGACCGATTGATGTAAGTAGTTGAATACCACTCATATCAACCAGTAGTGCTTGTTAGACAACACCAGACGGCTGTCTCGGAATAGAATTCTGCGGGGAAATTCACTTATTTCCGTGACGTGCGCTACTGGCGAGGTTTATCAGTAGCTTGATAGGAAGCAGCCAAAAGTGAGTCAATGGATGCAAAGGTAAAAGTGTTTATTCCTCAAATCTGGATGTAGCTTACGTTGTGGTCAGGAAACAGTCTCATTGGACAACTTTTCGTCTCAAGGTTCACCCTTCAGAAAATCATCAACCATTCAGAACAGTTTATTATCCGCTATTCTAGCTGACCTTAAATGTGGCTAAAGAGGTATAAATACGGTGAATTTTTCCTCAATAAAAAGTCTGTTACGAAGTCTTTTGTCTTCTCCTGTGACACTTCTAGTGTCAAAAGCCTTTACTTACATATTCCAAAACAATGATTCATTACTGGTTGGTGTAACCAGTATCTATACTCTCATATCAATCGATCGGTAGTTTATAGGGTCATACACTTATGTTTGCTTTCTTGTTCCGTATTTATGGTATGAAGCAGGTCACATATCATGATCTAAATAACTTCAGTTTCCAGAAAAATCTGCGTAAATTGCAAATTTATTTACGAATTGCAAAATTGATTTAAGGAAGGATAGTGATTGACCATAGATACTGAACACACTATGAAAGTGAACGCCTAGTAAATAGAAGCACTTTGCATGATAAAGCGAATATGTAAACAAACAAAACACGGTGGAATAAAACATTAACTTATTTTTAAAAAAAGTATAAGTAATATAACCTGTAATGGAAAAGGAGTATTTATCATATACTTTCTAATAGTCGAATAGAAATTATTGTAGGTCATTGAATGATAAATTAGTTCAGGCATCATTAGCACGTTGAACTTTTAAAAACTAAATAAAATTAACTTCATGCATGCAACAGACTTCATAGTCTATTACAATCTAATCAATTCATTCATCATCTACACAACAAAGTTATCTTTTCAAATAAATAATGTAATCAATGTTCAATGCATGTTCATAAAAACTAAAAATACCCGCGTAAAATGAAATATATCCTTTCATTCAAACGAAAAAATGCATTCAAAGTATTATAAGTCAATTAGCTTACTTTAAATTGTTTTAAGGAATATAATAAATCATCCAATTGGCGTGATGCTTCTTTCACAGCTAAAATAGTATGTTCATCATTTGATTGTGGACTGTGTAAATCATAATCGGAATGACTATTTACGATTGTTGGTGTACTACATTTAGAAACAGAGAAAAAAAAGAGGGAGAAATAATTTTCTGATAAGAATAGGCAAACAAACTTCGACATATATACATATATGAGTAGTATTAGTTCAGTAGTGGTGAATAAACATAAAATCTCCAATAAATTTGTTTTAATATAACTGAATGATTTAAAAATGATTCTAATCATAAGTAGGTGAGTGCTAACCGGATTATCAAGCTGAACATTTGATGTTTTCTTTATTTGAGAAATTGAAGTGATACGTCAGTATATGAATCACCCAGGAGACAATATATATTTCATATACAGAATATGAGTATCTCTTTACTTGGGATGGTTTTATTTATTTATTTAAACGCAAAAGAAAAAACTTGGTACAATATGGTACCAAGAAAGATGCACCACACAATAATAATAAAACAACATAGATTAAAAGTAAAATATAAGTAGAAAACGGATAAAGAACTTCATCTGGAAGGAAAACAGTCATGTTTAACAAGTTCAAACAGTATTCGTTAACTATCATCAGGAATGGAAGAAAGAAGGAAATTGCAGCACGTTCGCCATTGATTACGATTCTTGGCCATATCCGATAACGTTTCGAGCCATCGATTTGAGCTATCTCGCGGAACCCAACCACGGAGTCTTGACGCACCAACCGATGCTAATCTAGCACAAAAATCCTTCATCCCACGACGCCACGTCATGGACTACATGATTTATATTCAACAACAATAGTAACAGCTTTATTTTGGACAAAAGTTTTATACAAGATACAGAACTCTCAAAGTCATTTATTGCAAAATATTCTTTGTTTGCCTAAGATCTTCAAATAAAATAGTAATCCATAGTACATCATGCAACTCAATGCCATTTGATCTCTAGAATAAACTAACCATTATTTTTCCTTCTTTCCCTTCAAGAGATAAACAATGGTAGGCTGAAAGCCTATTCAAAATATGCGTAAACATATTTTGTAAATCAAAGACATTATCGAATGATTAAAGTAATAAGAAATAGAAAGAATTTGGTGCATTAAGTTGGATGGAAATAAAGTTAGCCCAACGATTCAAGCATACCGCTAAATATTAATCAAGCGGAATACATCGGACAATATTAATGGTGGTCATATAATATTAACTTAAGAATTGGCTGTACTCTCATGATATCAGCAGTGTTTGTGAAAGCTTCAAGAGACCTGTTTGAAAGTGACTCAAAAGTGTACATCATTATGGGTGCGTTATTCATCCCGAATATTCACCCGATGCATTGTATGAAATTTTGGGGATAGGAACGTCTCACATTTACCTTAAAACCTTAGTCATCAAACATCTGTGATTCTGAAAGATCGGCAAAGCGAATTTGGCTAAGATGGTTCAAGTTATGTATTTTTCATATTCCTTCAAGAAGTTCAGTAGACGAACAAAGTAGATACATTTTAGGTAATGGCTCTGAATGAAATTAATTTTGATATTTAATTTCGAAGGGAAATTTCATCTATCATGAAAAGATCAATACTAAAATTTTCAGAAGCTAAGCACTAATAATCATGAGAGAATTTAGAAATTGAGTGCTTTTAGGCTTTCTAAGTAGTAATGTATGGATTCAGTGCTGAAAGTATGTGTGTTCGACTTGAGAGTACACCGAATAGAAGTCAAAGTTAATGGGTTACCAATCGACAAAATCAACCATTGATTGGTCACTGGGTAGTAATCAGTGTAATGCATCTACTGAATTTTACTAATCAAATGTGCAGTGTGTTGCCTGTGATGGTGAGTCACCGATCCAAAGACTACCCGTACCACACTGGTTACTACCCTGTGACCAATCAAAGTATCCTTCAGTCCAACAGGTGGTTAATGGTGAGTACAAATAGCTTAGTGGTGGAGCCTCTGATTGTATTAATAGGCGACCCGGGTTCAAATCTCGGAGAAGAGGTGAGTTCCTTCAAGACTTCAGATACTCCTTGCTGACGAGTGCCAACCAGCATGAAACCTAGGTCCTGGGCCTCCCAACGATTATCTCCAATCACCTAGCATCAAGATAAACCTTAGATAAAGTAAAAAAATTTTATGTAGACTGGAGAAATTATGCCAGACATGCTGTTGTTGTATGTACTCCATTTATAATTAACTCCTGCTATTACATAATCACTAAAGTTAATTATATCTTCCTTGGTAGTTATTTAGAAGTTTCCAGGCCATTCGGTAAATCAAGGATGATTTCTGTTACTAGACCATTGAGTTTGAGCAATGTTGTTTAGTATTGAAAAAAAATAGTAATTTGAGTCAGTAATCGTATCTAGAAGATCTGGATTTCGCGCCTGGATGATTTAGGTCTAATGTTACACAAACTCGAAGACTTACAAGCAAAAGTCAACAAACTGGCAGAAGAGACATCGAAAACAGGAATGCAGGTTAACACAGAGAAGATGGAGGTGATGAAGATAACCGAAAAACCAACAGCAACAACAACAATAACAGCCAGCACCAATCACCATCGACGAGTGGCGACTTGAACTGCTGCACATCGATGCAAAGTTCTATGTTAAAAACAGACAGACAGACCATCAACGGGCGAGATTTAACAGAGGCTGATTCCTTCACTTATCTGTCCAGGGAACACGGTTTCAACCACAAACGGATGGCACGAATGAAGATGTCATAACCAGTCACATTTGGAAAGGCAAGATACGCCTTCATCAACCTGAAACTAGTTAGGAAATCTTCTGCACTCCACCTCAGCATAAAGAACAAGATTCGGATTTTCAATACAAATATGAAGTAAGTCAGTTCTTCTATAGGGGTCAGGAACTTGGCGTGTAACGAAAGGATTTCCAACAGGTTGCAGACTTTCATTGACAGCTGCCACCTTCGTTGGCTCCATACTGAAAATTAAATGGCCAACCGACCAGAAAAGAATTAGCTGCGAGAAACTCTGGCTAGCTGAAAACAAACCAACAGACGAGAGCCAATTGCTCAACAAATATGTAGAAGAAAATGGAGATGGATCGGGCATACTCTGAGGAGCCCATCAAATGACATCGCCCGCTAGACCATCACTCGAGTGGAAAACCCAATGGGAAGCGATGAGTGGTTCGTCAGTGCGACGGTGACATGGAGGAGATAGTGTGGTGAGGAGGAGGAGATGAGAGATTATGGTCAGTCGTGGACCCAGATGAATAGGACAGAAGAGAATAGAAGAAAGTGCATAAATGTTATTGAAGCCATATATGTTCCACTCGGAACCTAAAGGAATAATAATAATAATGTCAAAGGATTTAATAAACGAAATTAGTTTTTTTAATGTAAACCAATTTTTTCAAAAACAATTAGTCAGTATATTTAAATAATACATTCATCTCCAGCTTCGTGTAAATGCTTAATAAATCTGTTGAAGTTCCTGCCTGTGGAGAAAATGCTATGAGGCAGCTTTGGAAGTGGCCCATAACTGAAGTCCTAATGTATTTCAGTTGTAAAATCATAAAGATACCAATACAGACAACAAATAATTCTATAAATGTTATTCAGTAAATGTCACTCTTCGAGTGTAGATCATATCTAGGAAATAAAGTAACACGGGAAGATATCAGAGGTCATTCATAATTCGAATTAGTGATTCACAAATTAATTTGTGATTTACACAGTTCGAGTTGAGATTTCATCACCATTTCCTTTGAAGACGGAAATTAGTGAGATCACAATTTGTGATCTGCCTGGTACCATAAACGGGAATCAAAAAAGGGGGCGTAATTGTTTAAATTACGAATATGATTTATGGTACCACCAGTTCACTCAAGTAGCTAGCCAGATATCGGATGGTTTTAACTGATTCGGCTCTCTAAGGCGAATCGAATCGGTGCACCACTGATCAAGTCAGCTTCGAAAGAGCAGAATCGTCGCCGAGTGTTTAGATCACGTCGAACCAACTGATTAGTTAGTTAGTACTACAAGTTCATGTGAATGGTATCCAGCTACTCATCCAGTCAATCATCAGTAGTGTACAGTTTTATTGTGGATTGTTAATTTAAAAAATGATTTCTATCAAATCTAATACTAAGCAAAGATGGAATGAGTATCTGGCTAAATAAATTCACAAATTTTCCTTAATAAAGTGTGAAGAACAAACATATAGTACAAGAAAATTCAATTATTCGTTAATGCAAAGTACTTTTTATATGAGTTTTAAAGTTAATGCAATAGTGAAACAAACATTAAAATGCATGCGAAATCTAAAGTCAAATTTTATCTCATTACAACTAGACAAAAGACTTAACAGAAATTCTGGCTAAGTTAAAGAATATCTGTCCAGAGGAATGAACGCACCAATGACCTCGAAACGCACAGGCACAGTCAGTTAGTGACACCATATAAAAGACACCATATATTTTTAGGAAAATGACAGAAGTGCAAGAACATTAAACAGAATATCCAGTAAGTACAGGCGTACAAGTGGAACCCAAAGGAGTAACGGCTATTTAGGCGTCTAAAGGCGACATGGAGGAGATCATGTGAAGAGGAGTTAAAAGGTTATGGGCAGTCGTGATACCAGGTAGAAAGAACTGCAGAGAACAGAGTGAGATGGAGATGTACTGTTGAAAACCCTATGTTCTACTTGGAACCGAGGCGAATAATAATAAGGATTTGGTTAAGAAAAGGGTTGAGTTGGGGATCTAAATTTTACCTTCTGAAGCAGTGATCGTTATAAAGTCATAGATGAGTCTCTTCAGCCCTAGATCTATATTCCTTAGCTTAGTCGAAATTATTTCAAAGCAAAGAAATGATTTATGGATCCTGTATGCGACATTTCGCAGCCATAGGAAAAATGCAAAAAAATAAGATACGATAAGAATGACCTAAAACAGTAATTGAGAAAAACGGTCATTGAACATCAAGTCAGCATCTAATATCTGCACTCGAAATGACCCTAAACCTATGCTGGAGATATAGGAAAGTTTTATTACCACTGAAATCAAAGGGTAGAGAATAAATGAAGCATAAAACCGGACGT